GCCCTCCAAAGCCAGGAGCTGGACGCGCTGGGGGACGGTGGCCGTGAGCCTGCCGGGTGCCAGTGCAGCGCGCTGTGCCGCGGCCACTCTGTGGGCAGAGCAGCGTGCTCCTCCGCACGAGCCGGCCAGAAGGAGCTGTCTCAGTCCCCATGTGCACGAGCCCTTGCCACCGAGCAGCAGCGCCCACCGTGTGCCCACGCGCCCACGTCCCGGGAGCTCTCCTGAGCTCGCTCCTCCAGGCTCACACTAAGCTCCTGCTGCCTTTTGCTGAAACAGCTTGTGCTGTTTAATACAGGAACTACAGCTCATTGAAAGGGGAATGGAAGAGGCTCTGCACTCTGGAAGCGTGAAAGAGCCACGTTCACTTGAGGGCCCACAGAAGAGAGAAGCCAGTTAGCACTGCTAACGAACTGGAGAATTCAGCAGTAAACAAGAGAAATCTTTGCCATAAGGTGCCAGTAGTGCTGAATGAAAGAGGGAATGGGATGGAGCAGGCCTTCTCCTGCTGCTGGGGCTCAGGAAACCGCAGCAAAGCACTAAGCACTGTTTGCACCAAGAAACAGCTGCAAAATGGACTTCTCATCCCTTGGGAAATTCTGACACCCTAGAATTTGCTTTTACCGAAATCATTTTAGACTGAAACACCTCGTTTTGAGAATGTAGAAAATACCACAGCGTCCCAGTAGCGTGTTGTAATGTGGCACCCGGAACACAGCACTGATCTTCTGTTGGGCTGAATTTCTCTCAAGAATCTTTATTTGCACCCAAGTGTTGCATCCTCAGGCACGTGTCTCTGGTCCCGAACATGACCTTTGCTTATGTGGGGCACATAATTTGGTTCATATTGTGCAAGTAACTCTCCATTTTCAATTGCAAGATCGTAAGAAAATCTCAGAGCCTCTGCATTTTCAGAATGGCAATGGGTGTGTTTTACTTGGCAGTGCTGTAATCTTTCTGTTCCAGGCTGAGCAGTGTGATAGAAACATCATAGCCAGCCAGCCAGGCAAGATGGGAACTTAGGAAACTCTTGTTCGAAAGTTGGGGAGCTCTCCAAAGGCAACAGCAGTAACACCGCGATAAAACTACAGTCAGGATTCTGGTCGTCCCCTGCTCAGCAAACACCACACGGAGCAAGGTAAATGTCCTGCCATGGTCACCCCAGAGATGTGTGCCACCACGTACCTGGAGCATCCCACGCTGATTGCTGGGCTGGCTGCAACCCTCACACGCTGTACAGCCGTCGCTGAGCTTGACGGGCTGCCCGCTACAGTTCAGCGCTCTTGATCCAAGCAGGAAAGCTGCAAGACAGCGTGCCTTGGCTGCTAAACCCATCCACACTCAAAGCATGGACAGTTCTTGAACTCAGCCCATGGAAGGTCTGTGCTGGCTCCCTTCTCTTCTGTATCTGATACCCACATTCACAGCAGCAGCGCCTGTATGGGAATCCAAGAGTGAATTGTAAACTGAAACAGAATTGCCCAGAAAACCATTTTTTTCTTTAAAAGAGAAAAAGGAGAAGGAAAAAAAAAAAGAAAAAAGGCATCAGCTCTGGTCTAGACCACTAAATCGCTCAATACACAGTATAAGGCCTCTTAAATAGCAGCTGCTCAAGAAGGGCTGCTCTTCCAACAAAGTCTTTCCAAACTGTGCATTAACTTTGCCGAGTGCTGCCTGTGCAGCCATTTCCATTCATAATTACGTAGCCCACTGCTCCTTAAATCTCTGCATAGTCTCTAATGTCATCATTTAACTTTGCTTTATAGCCATTTATTGCTGCCTCTCCCACAGGGGCTAACATATTCTCATAGAATAATGAGATGCTTTGCAACATGCACAATTTTGGCTATCCCCAGTCCTCTCCTACCCTTTGAAAAGCCCAGCCCAATTAACCGTGCTTATTTCTGGCTCCATTGTTCGTCCCCTCAGCCTGCGGGACCACGCGCTCTGCCCCCCACCGCAGCTGCCCCTGCTCGCCGTGGCTGCTCCCCTCCACATCCACCTGTGGTGGCACTCAGCGTCGAAGGGACAGCTCGAGGCCGACGTGCCCTGCACCGCTGGCACCCACCTCGCTGCCCCCCGTAGTGCCCTCCCTCCTGCCCTTTCCAGCCGCACTGCCCGCCGGGCACGCTCTGCCCTGGCCACCGGTGCTGGAATGCGCGCTTCCCTCCGCACCGCACCGGGAAACAGGCAGGCGTGGGATAATAGAATATATTAGCCCTGAGCCCATTCAGCCCCAGGCTCTTTATGAACAATGGCTGCTAACTGAGCTGATTTTTGCCAAATGACTGGCTTCGTGCATGAGCAGCAAAGTGGAGCCCCCAAACAGTCCCACGCAACAATCTGGCAAGCGCTATTGCCCAGGGCCCATTGTTTCACTGCTGCGTTTGAGGGCATGGAGGAGTCATGGCCTTGCCTGCCCTGGCATTTCTTCCCCAGTTTCCCACCACCGCACGAGCCCCATCCCAGCCCCAACAGAGGCAGCAGTGATGGGGGAGCTGAGACTGGAGCCCACAGGCATCTGCTGTCCCTGCCCCAAGCCAGGCGACATGAA